ATTCAAAGATATAAATATTATGGCACTGGTGCCGAGACACAGTCTGTGTGTCAACACAAGTACTGCAAAACCTTTAATGAATGAATGACATCCGATTCTAGTGACTGAAGTCTGTGACGCATGCTTGCTCAGCTAAAGGATGGGACCCTCCATCTGGCAATGAAAGCCTATTAGGTGACAGCATATTGCATCATTTCTGCATCATGTACTGAATTTGAATCAGCTGCTGTTAAATCATGTTTATGATCAATTGGCTGTGTTCCATTGTCAGTCTTCAGGCAAGGGATGCATACTAACTGGATCATTATGTGCATGTATGCTAAATGCAAACAAGAGAGAAACATTTGTGAAATTAATCGTGAAATTGCTTTCTTTAAATTGTCTTAAGTCAAGGACCATTGATCACTTTTTCTAAGGGCTTTCAAAAGCAGTTCATGGTCCTCATTTTCATCACTTTAAGTTCCATATACTAAAGATATTTGACGACAAAAGATGAAAATCGGCTGATGCCGGTGAAAGCTCAGTTAGTGGACCTTGATTGAAGAGTATTCATTCAAAAGAAAAATGTGCTATTTATTTTTCATGTATATATCCTTATGTTCAATCACATCTGGATAGGTATCTCTTCGATTGGGTTTTTGAAAGTTTCGGTGAGTTAGGTGCATTTCTGCCGTGATCATTTTTTTTAAGTTATCTATCAAACCCTGGTGTCTTTCACAACGCTGGTTTGAGAAGGAAATCAAGATACTGTGAAGCTTTGTTTCTGTTCATCTACTCACAATGTAAAGTTTCTATTCTGGCTTAAACATGTAGCTTATCTGTCTGTACTTTGAGATGTACTCAAAGTCACTGTCGCTGGAGGACAGTTTTCTTCCTGCCTAGCTCAGAGCAGAAAACGCTTTTGAGCCACCTTCCTCGGAGCAAAGTAAGCCATTGGATATGAGACAGGAGGCGACTTCCCGCCTTTGAATCATGTTGTAACTGATGCTATCTCAGTCTTGTGTGTTTTGAGGACAGAGTGATAAGGGCTCGGTTGAGGGCTGTATTCAGGGCAGAAACAGATCCGCAGAGGGTTCTTTAGCCTCATTTTCTGACCAGCCAGCTCCCAGGCCTATTTAATATTTCAAAGCGCCCTCTAAAATGGGGGAGAATGCACTTAATTAAGTGTGGACAATAAATGGACTATAACCAATGCTCTGCTGTGCATATATGCAAGGTCCGTGAATGCATGCATATCTGAGATGCTCTGTGCATGTAAATGCATGAAATTACAGTATGACGTTATTCAACCATGACAAACTAGAACTTTGAAGTGTTAAATCGGCAGCCAGCTGTCAGAGACCTCATACTGGTCTCTGCTCTCAGAGGAGGAAAAGTGGTTTGCTTTGAAATAGGTGGGAGTCAAACAAAAAGCATGGGAGCATACTAGCACAATTAAGTGTCATTGGGTACTCAAACGCAGTTCAAACAGGCAGATGCACATTATAATATGAATGGTGTTCACTGCCTTAAACGGAAATGTAAATATGACTGTAGACAAAGCTTATGATTCCACTTAATAATCAGTGATACCCATTTTGTTGTAAATAATTGTACGATGTTACCCAGTTTGCCTTTTAATGTGGTTGGTCGAATTAGCAAAAAGTGTGATTCTGTGATGGGTCCATCATTCATTCAAGTAACACAAAACTTGTCAGAAAATGTGTCATTTTGCACAGCCGGTGGATCAGAGTGCAAGCTGTGGCTGTGCAGATTCTAGAGATTGATAATTGGACATTCATGCAAAATGTAGTCTTTAGTGAGAGCCCCCACCATCTTTTATTTAATTTATTCCAGCTATGCCAAACAAAATGGTATCGTGCTTTGTTAAAAGGCAGCAAGGCAAATAAAAAGTACATGCTTGTTTGACATGGAAATTGGTGGATTTATCAGTGAGAACATAACTCTAAAGAGAACATAATTTCTTGATAAATATCAGATCAAAATCCAGCAACCAAAAGGATGTCCCTATTGATAGATTGCTTCTGATGTTCCTAGCATTGATACACTATCTCTTAGGGTCGATAAACCCTATGTAAAGCATACTCTTTCAAAGTTGGAAAATGCAACACCAAACAGTAACATGGCCCAAGAAATTCAACATCCATAATACAAATATACACAGTTTTCTTTTACTGCAGTGTAGTCTTTGAGGGTGCATTAGTCACTTATCCCTATTGAGTCTCAGAGGTGATTCTATTCTGGGAAGTTCGAACAAGATCTTTTTATTTCATTGCTCTTGGTGGAAAGCACACACCAATAAAACTGCACACACACACAGTCCCAATGACTCCCCTGATCTTGGCAGCAGATGCAGGCCTGTCCAGATGAACTGTTATTGATGGAGGGATGCATCATCCTCCCTCCCACTGTCTCTGACACTGCACTGATGAAGTGTGCTGCTGCAGGCCAAGAACAACCGGAGTGTGATATGTCTGAAGGCTGCAGGGCCATATGTTCCGACACTAATTTAACAATCTTAAATTATGTATTTACCATATTATATTGGACTGGCAAGACGATAGCAGACAACAATTCTTCATCAGACCACTAAAGTTTGGTCGGGACTATACAATATTAAGGGTCAGGTCTTTCGCTACATAAGCAATGAGTGCAAATGTACTACTCAGTTGTGTCCACTTCAGGACAATTTAAATTTGTTTCAAATGTCCCTGACTCACCAAAGACACATGCGCTTTTGTTAGATCCATAATGAAATATCACACCTGCCACATAGGCAGTAGCTCCTTTGTGAGGGAGTGTGTGAGTCCTGGAGCCGAACAGAAAGCTTTTTATGAAGCTGCAGTTATGATCTTTTTGCTTTTAATATGCCATGCCAGCTTCATTATGTATCCTTTTATTCTCCACTGTGGGGTGCATCGCAGAGTACTTTTTGACAAAAGGAAAAGTGGTAGTGGTAATGCTCTGTAATTAAACATGGAGGTGGATTTTGAGGCAGACTGCCATCTACCGGTTTATAAATCACAGCCCCCCCCCCCCCTCCCCTCACACCAGCTACCCTTACCTCTGCTCAAGAAGTAGATCTGAGGAGGTAGGAGTTCATGCAACCACGGCTACAATTAAAAGTATGCACACAGTCTCAGCCTTTCGGTATTTAGTACTATAGCCATTCACTCAGTTTGTCATCACAAATCCCAGCGATTAATTTGTTTATTTTTCCTTAACCCCTCATTTCTCCTCAGGGTCACTGTATGAAGCTTTTTTTGGTTGCAGTGAACGTGATCCACACCAGTATGAAACACATGTGTTGGCTGATTAGCATTACACATCACACAGGAGTAAATACTCTCAATACCAAAATACTAGGAGAAAAAAACTCAACTTCGCAGGAGTTTATATTTTTCAACATATGCTGTAATTTGTTTAACTTTAAAAATAATGTAGCATCATGTTCACTCCATGATCTTTCTCAAGCATGTGCAGAGCATTCATGTTGTGGGAATGAATGACCTGCCACGGTCATTTTAAAAACTGACTTAAAACCCCAAGTGGTCTAAATTGGTCTAAATGTAGGATTACCCTAACTTTGAACATCATTGAATAGGATCACCAGGTTAGATGTTCATATGGAACTGTTGCTGATTCAGAATGGTGTTTATGTAACACCACACTTGTAATAGAAGGAAACACATTTGGGAAAACTACAAATCTATTCATGGGTTATATAAACCTTTCAATGTGTGAGTCACATCTTGTAAAAAGTCAGTTTTACAAGAGTAAAAGATGCTTTTAGATACATGTTGGAAACACATTGTTGTAGCTTCCTGTTAACAGTACATTTACAAGAAAACTATTTCCCCAAATCCCCCAACAAGTTATAAAGTCTCGTCCATTTTAATTTTTCACGTCTTCAATCTGGTGGAAATGATTTGTTTCTTGAACATCGACTTGTCTCTCGATGCAATGAGGCTCTCCAAGCAGGAAGCTTTTATATGGTAATGAAATCGATTGGACCAATGCGCGCACCAATCAGAACCGTTTGATTTATGTTTAAGGGACTGTTGAGAGGACTAGTCGCTTGGCAACCGCCTGCCTAATGAAATGTATGAGCTGTGGCTATTAAAAAAAGCGACCCCAGAACCCATTTACAGCCTTTTGTATCCGCGAGTTCAAAGAAAACAGCGAGCATTTTGATTCTTTGATGAAAGAAAGGCATGACTCAAACTGATTGTGACTGAAAACTCTCCGCACTTTGATAGGAAAACGGCGTAGGCTACGGAGTAGTGGTGTTGGATTTGAGATTGTTTTATTAAGAGTCGTGATTAGGCTTGGTTTGTTATATCCTACCTGTTTTTCAGAGATCTGCCAATCATTCTTTAGCCTCGGTTCGGTTGGGATAATTAATCGCATCCTAATGCAAATCTGTGTGGGGGCTTACTTATAGGAGGCAACAATAGACGCTCCTTGGGAAAAAACATCGGTGCACGCTGCAAACAAATGTCCACATCAGCAAGTCGAAATAGATTAAATGTATTTATTTCAGGTGCTGATTTTCTGTTTTCATGGAGAAAAACACGTCTGATCTCTTTCCTTAGATACAAACAGGTTGATGTTGATTGAAATCAAGAACATTCGCAGTCGTTTCTTCACTCACTCAAAGGTATTTGGTCTAAAAGGCAGTTGGATGAAAGAAATGAGGAGGATCGATATTTTTGCAGCGCAGCTTTGTTTGATCTCTGAATCTGAAGGAATTAAAATGGGATGGATGTGACTGACTGTTACTGTGGAAACCAACTTTTCCCTGCCTACACGATGTTCGTCCACCCCCTAATAGGCTACTAATGAGTCTCGACATGTTTTCCGGCAGAATATCGGAAGAGCAACTAATTGTCCACATTTATCCAAGCTCATCTCATTATTACGTACCATGGGAATACAAAAAAAGGTATGTACGACATGGGCACCTTTTTTTAAAAGAGGAGAAATATGTTTTTACTTACAGCAGTTGGTCACAGCAAAACTATTAGCCACTTCCAGATTGTCAATGTGGGGCGTCAATCTGAATTCCGAGGTGCCAAACTGAACCATTCCTATCCGAAATGCGCTGTACTCTTGATCCGCGCCCCTTGGAAAGAGTCCCCCTGTAACCGAAATGCAAATATCAGCCACATTTGCACAAAGATCTCTGGTAAGAGACATCTCCAAGGCACATTTTCCCAGCATTTTATGCACACAATCCAAGTGGTTTTTACGTTTAAACTAATGGATACCTACCAATTTGAACACTGGGCGAGCCTCCAAGCGCACATCCCCATAAAACCAGCAGAACAGAAAGGGATAAATTCACTATCTTTTCCATGTCCACAGTTTAGATGTCCACATCCACCACGGGAGTCTGATATTCCTCGATTTCTCCGGAGGTGTTAGATCCGACACATATTGGAGAGCTTCAGCCCTGGGGAGAAACACTTCAAATGTGCAGCAAATGACCGACTTCTTTTTATTTCTGCAGGTGGCTTGCTGAGAAAAGACACCAGCAGTGAAGGAATGGTCGCCTGCAATTTAGGTCTGCTGTCTCTTCTTCCCGCAGCTGATGCCTCCTCTGAACGCACAGGGACACTGCGCGTCTCCGCTCGGCGCGCCGGAGATCCTTTCAGCATCACACCCACAAGTGAGGAATTTTAATGAGAAGGCGAACAGAAACGGAAATAGCCGAGTGGCAACCACTTAGTGATAAGAAAGCATTGAGCTGGAATTAAACCTATATTCTGGTTTATGGATAATTGGATTATTGAGCAGCATTAAGGCATGAAAACATGGAACATGATTGTTGATTCACAACACACTATCAGTTGGTAGACTTAATAAAGTACATAAAGGACATGTAAACATTCCTTTATTACACATTTTCAGCAGGTGATTCTGCTTTTATTTCATCATTGTCTTGGCATTTCCCCCACCAAACTGGTTTTAACATTCCTATCCCATTTAGAGTTAAAAGCATGTGTAGTATAATGCATTTATATTAACACTAAAGCAACACAGTAGCACTATTATATGTCTATTAACAATATACCTTTACTGTAACTCAAAGATCGTTTTTTTTTTAAGGTTGAGATGATAAAGATGATAACATCAGCAAGTAAAACAATTAAACCAGATCTTAATTTTCAGCAGGTTGGATTTAAAAGAAAAATAGAGCGAGGGTATATTTGTTAATGATTTTCCTTTTCTCCCATTGACCAATCAATTCCTAGTTTTTCATGGGTTGCTTAGGATATCTTCAATCTTGAATAAAATATGAGAACTGAGATCTGAAAAGGTATTAGCACTTTTGCTTGAGAATGGAAAAAAAACAATAAGAAGATAATCAAAAGTATTCTCTGCCAATCAATGCATCTATTCAGAGTTGCAGATTTAAATTGTAATGCATGAGCTGACTTAAGATGACTTTATTATTGCAGGAATCAAAACTATGGCCTTGAACATATCATTTCCACAGTTACATTGATACTGCATGTGCTTACATGACTCAGTGGGCTGAATGCCTTTTCCCTTTGCATATTAACTATCTGGATGATGCAACCCATTACCCTTATTGTTGGTGAATTCACAATGGAATATAACTGAAGATCAGCCACCTTGAAACAAGTTGTGTTCAATTTCCAAAAAAGCAGCATCAATATAGGCTGATCATATAATTAAAATTGAGACCTTCAAATGTGTTTTCGGTCACTTCAAAGTCTACGTGAAAGGCCAACATATCCTGCTGGGAAAACTAATCAAGAGCATCAGCTGGAGGCCATCACTCATTCCCACCAGGAGAACCCATCAGATGAATCTCCTGCTTAACTTTGATCTAGTGCTTATTTCCACCCTCTGCATACAAATCTGATGCAAATCTATAGGACTGAGTGTAACTGGGTTAAATGGAGGAGAGCTGCCTCACAGCTAACAGGAAATAAATGGCACTCCTGTCCCCTTGTTTTATGATACGCATATCTCAGGCTGCACGGACAGATGTATATTAATCATTGGACAGGGTGAGATAGCAGTATGGGAGCAAACTAATGATGCGGGAGAGAGTCGGAGCTCATGGTGGAGGCAGTTAGAGCAACAGTGTGTGTCAGCTTTCAGCACCACGGACAGCACATCACATGTAACACACACTCCCTTGCTAGGAATCATTAAGCGTTTTACATGTAGGGCAGACATAAGGGATATTTTTAAATTGAGTCTTATTTTCTCAGTTCCGGATAGCATTTTTTGTATTGGATATAAGAAACAAGCAGTCAGTCATGTTATGGTTGCAAACATGTCAACAGGTTTGTTAGATTATCTTTAAACTACTTTTGTGGGAAACAGTATTTTGATCTCTCTGTCTGTACACACAAACTGGAAGATTAAAAATAAAGTTGACATGAAAAAGTTGAATTTGACTGACTTTGATTTGCAGAAAAAACTAATAAAAAAACACCAGTGAGAAAAACCAGCAAAAAACATAAAACAACAGTAAGCTTTGTGCTAATTTGGGCAGTGAATAATGTGTTTTGCTGGTCTTCTTCACTTATGTGGAGAACACTTTAAACCAAAATAGATATTAACTTTTTAGACATAGGTATAATTTGAAACATACTTTTTTATGTTGAATTGTATGCTTGTCTTGAGACAAATATCAATCAAAGCATGTTCAGATGAAATGCTTTCCACAGACTAAAAGACTCTCAAGGTTACATACTGTTAAGGAATAATTATTCTAGATATCTAACCTTTTGCTCTGTGACGTTTTATGATCTACTCTGACGTCTGTTATCTCCTTTAAGGAAAGGCCATATGTGTTGTTGTCACCAGTTTGTGACCGGTCAACTTGTCTGGCACGAATGGTAATTGTTGTGAGAACGCTGAGGCACTTCTTTATCGGTGTTTGTGGACTCTAAGATGTGAAATCTTCGAGGCCATGAGCGTCGGACACAAGTGGTTCAGTGTTCCCAGCTGTTTAGTCTACTCCTTCAGAGATGTTGATTACTCTCTGTGAACCAGTTAAAAGGTCTAGCATAGAGAGAGGCTCTTCAGAATTGACGTGGCGACTCTACAGTGAAGTCAGAACCTCTGACTCTTTGACTTGTGATGTGAATCCTCCGGCCGATACTCTGAATAAACCCATCAGTGTTTGACATCAAAAGCTCCAACTCTCACCGTGTCTCCTTCCTGAGTCGGTGACTCCCACTGCATTGCTACACAGAAGTTTCCCCCACACATACTGTAAGCAACACATTGGGGTGAATTACCAGAAAGTGTGGCAACTGATTGCTGACTCTTTTCTCAGTGCAGTAAGACGAGGAAGTGTAGTTTGGTTAAACAGGGAGGTTTTCATGAAAAATAGGCTGTTTTATGTTCTGCCTTCAAAACAAAACATAAATCAGAGGAACAAACCGTTCTTCTGCCGTCTCACAGCAGTACTGGTGCAAAAAGAAAAAAGCATTTCCCTTCTTCCAACAAACATTTATAGCATAAGTGCCCGCCTTCCAAGTTTGACCTGGCCAATCAGGTCACTTCTCTCGAAATGAGTCAAATATATCTGGTTATTATCAACTCTACATTAACTCAAGTCATTCTTAAACATATTAACATGAATACTGCAACTTCAACATAAACACAATCATTGTAAATCGTTAAGTATTTGTCTTAATTAGCTGCCATTACATCTCACCTCATTTATCCAATCACATCTTAGAACACGCCCACTCCAAAACCACATGTAAGGAGTCCTGAGGAGGCGTGCCCCCTGTGAACACAGGCACAAGATGGCCTATGCAAAGGACTCAATCTCAGGTAATGCCTTTCATGACAGTGTGTCTTTTTAATATGTTTTTAAGAACTTCACTTCATTTACATGCTTAGTATATACATCTGCCTTTGTTAAATTATGTTTTCAACCGTAAATTAACAAAAGAGAACTAGAAAAAATACCTTTGCAAACAGAAAAAGCTTTTTGAACTGTTTGTGAGGCTGTGTGTTATGGCAAAGTTATTTCCAGGAAATGTTTTGGAAATCAATTGAACTTATTTAGAAATTATGGAAATGTCAAATCCAGTGCTGCCAATGTTTAAATGTACCTGAACTTGTTGTCATCTGTTTTGAATTGTTCTTGGGGCTCGTATTTTATACTGTCATGCTTTGTTTGAGAAAGGTCACTACTGTATGTTCTCTGAATCCAACAAGATGTCCAATATTATTTTGTAAAAGCGACAATGGACAAAAGTACAAACATGAGACTTAAGTTGTATGAGACTAGGACAGCCTTCTAACTCCAGACTTCCTTAGGATAAGTGCCATCATCCACCTGTTGAATGTCACATTAACTGCTCGCCAACACATTCTCATTGTACATCCTTCATAGCATGCTCAGCTGCTTGTGTTTTTCCCACACTCAAATATTCCGTGTGACCTTGTCTGGAGCGTCTGTCATGCATGGATTCACTCTGCTGCTGCTAGATTGAAATGTAATTTCACTTTGATTATCTTACAGCACATTCTGCCATTTACTGAATTTGCATCCCGCGAGATAATTTAACGCGTTGACACGCCGAAGAGCATTTTAATGAGTTTTTAGGAGTGAAATGAGAGTAACTCATAATCAAATCATGAACCTGCCGTCTGTGTGGGAATGTTTACCTTTGAGTCCATTTCTGCTAATAAACCTGAAGAGTGAAAGGGAGTGTTCACATGCAAATGGAGAGTCCAGCATGTTCTGTCTGCTCACACGAAATCAGTGACATTTTGGGAAAGGTTTAACCAGTTTTCTATGTCCCAGAAATCCTGTGAAAGTGCCTCCTAGAGAGCATTTACATGGCATTTAGTTGGTGCTCTCATTTGACAAACTTACAATAGGAATCATTTCAATTTGTACTCGAGAGTTTCTGCCACAAGACACTTGGGTTGTGATGGCCATGTTGTTGTTGGGATCGATTACATGACCTTTTTGTGACACCATTTAATGATTTTAATGATTCCCTCACCGTCATTAGCGGCAGTACAGAGAAACAAAGGATAAATGTTTCTACAAGTATTCTCTAGAAGTCCATTAGGACTCTAAAAGGAAGTCTGCTTTCCAAATGACTTTCTTTTACCCAACATTGTTGTATTGAATTATGTTTTGACTGGCCTTCAAAAATGCTTTATTCATCATTCAATGCTTTTTTTAAATGAACTAAAATGGAGGCAAAGCCAGTAGACTTTACAGGATAAAGTATGAATTTGCAGGTTTTGTCTCGTCAATGTATCAGACATTATAAAGAAAATCTAGCTGCGTCTTCAATTTTCTTTACCGCCTTCATTATTGTCTGGAAGTCTCACAAGGCTGGAGCCTGTCCTGGTCTGACCTGAGTAAAAAAAAAAGGGACTGACTGCACTTAAACACTTCTGTGCACACACCGCTATAAGGGCACTCGGGTACATAAATATTAATGTTTCCCATCCTGCTGAACTGCATACCGTGGAAATTAAATCATGAGGCGACAGTTTTAGTTCCAGCAAGACACTGGGCTGCCCTTTTAGACTCACACAAGTCAAAGGAAACACTGTTTTTGATCTGCATCGTTTAGTGGTAATAA